ACTGAAAACTTATGAGCTTTGAAACATTTCATAAAAGAATTGTGTCGAAGAGGTTCCGGAACTCTGTTTTGGCACGTTCCCCCAGAAAAAAAAACCCTGTTTACACATACAGACACAACACTGTTCTGAACTGGCAGCCAATACTAAAGCTCCTGTTACATGCGACATAAACAATGTTAGCATCGTACCTTTTTAACTTCAAATGGCTTTAGTTTGGCACTTTCTTCCTCCTCTTTATGCACCTTCACACTCTTTTCTATGCTTGCATTCTGAGGTGTCTGGAGGGAGAAAAAAAACTACACAGTTTGTAAAGGACGGAAAACAGTGCCCCCTGAACAGCACATTTGCCACCTACTTGCACGTTTATTTTAAAAACTGTTAACTGTGAAGCTCTGAAAAAAATTACACAGTTTGTAAAGGATGGAAAACAGTGCCCCCTGAACAGCACATTTGCCACCTACTTGTACGTTTATTTTAAAAACTGTAACTGTGAAGCTCTTTGTTCGTCAGACCCTTTTAAAACAACCTCCTAGACTGAAGTCTCAAAGTACACAATCTGATATTTAAGGGGACCCCATTATTAATTACTACCTCTGGAAAGGATCAAATATTCATAGTGCGGCCAATGTAAGACGAAAAACTCCCAGTATTCTCGTTCTGTTTGCTACTGGCAACATAACCTTAAATATTTGTTTATTTAAAACATCTCTATGCCGCCTTTCCACCCGAATAGGAGCCCTAAGGCGGTGAATGTCAAAACATTAAAAAAAAAATTAAAGCAACCTTTAAAATAAGGTACAAATCCATTCAAATGGAAGCCAGTCCCATGAGCTTAAACAGAACGAATACCCACACCCAGGGCTATTTTTGGGCAGGAACGCACAGGAACAGAGTTCCAGCTGGCTCCCAAGTTGGCCACGCCCAGCAGGAACTCCTTAGCATAATAGGCCACACCCAACAGCAGAAACTCATTAGGACTGGCTACATTAGGGGGTGTGTGGACTGACATGCAAAGGAGTTCCTGCTACCAAAAAGAGACCTGGGTTTTGACAACAAACAAGGTAAACAGAATAACAAGCAAAAGGTGGGTGTGGCTGGATAACCACACTTCTGGTAACATGGGGGTGCGGCCTAATGTGCTAATGAGCTGTGCTGTCAGGGGTGTGACCTAATATGCTAATGAGTTTCTGCGGTTGGGTGTGGCCTATTATGCTAATGAGTTCCTGCTGGGCCTTTTCTACAAAAAGAGCCCTGTTTGCTTAGGATCCCACTCCAATTCCAGCCGCAAAGGAGGACTCCAGAAACAAAACCAATGCCACTGTTTCCAATCAGCAACCGAAAAATCTCGAAGTGACATCGGTGGTAATAAGGGCACACGACGAGACATATCGAAATGCCGTGCACACATTCTGCAGGTATCTCCCTTGTATTTTATAGAAGGATCGCTGATCTCTGTTGGTCGCCAGTTGACTCACAAGCCAAGTTCAAGCTTCCAGTTACGACCTTAACGGAGCAACCCTAAGCAAAGCCACACGAGTACAGCCTGTTTAGGATCACAACTGTTATGTATATCGTTATGGTCTATTGCTTTAACATTGACGGAACCTGCCCTGAGCTTGCTTGCGGGGAGGGTGGGATACAAGTTGAATAAAAACAAATTTAAAAAAGAGATGCGAACAAAGACTGCACACATTATTACGAAATATTTCTCACGTGGAAACTGGTCCACCGTCTATACTATACTCACAGAGTTATTGCCGTTGAAGCGAGCAGGCAACCTTCTGCCAGGCATCTTTGGCCTATTTGCTGTGGGATGTGATAAATTATCTGAGGTAGCGATTATGTCATCGAAACTTAAAAGATCTGGACGAGAGAGAGGGAGAAAGAATAAAAAAAAGAAGAGGCTATAATTAAAGCTCAAAGGGCTTTCGTGAGAAGAACGGTCAGACTTTGCTCTGAGATTATGTTAACTGAGATCGCAACGACAAAAACCTCTCCACGCGTTTATGACGTTTTTAGAATGCTGTGGAGGATGAAGATCGGCATCTACCGCTTATTAATAACCTTAAAAGGGATCCCGTGCTTGCATTCATGAGCCAGACAATAAAAAAATCGGAGCAAAATGGCCACGTTTCTAAAGCAAATATAGAGCGGAGTAATTTCTATGATCTAAGATCTGTTGAGTGGTTATATTGCTCGCTTTAAAACTATACCAGAGAACTGTATTAGGTATGTCCTAGGATGTCCTCAGATGAAAATCACTCCCAATAGTCAACTGGATGGCTCTGTGTTCATCATTAGGACAATTCAATGGGCCCCACAAAGACAAGATGGGGTGGGGCTCTGAATAGCTGGGGGGAGTCTTAGTTTATAAAATTAAAAGACTGCCTGTCCCCCCCCCCCAAAAAATGATGAGGACCAAAGATCTTTGTTGTTCCCCAACAACCATGCAATGTTGGGGACTTGGGAGGAAATTAGTCTGTTTAAGCCCCACAGTAGAGGGGAGAGGAAATTAAGAAGATGAAGAAGACGAAAAAGAAGGAGATTGGATTTATACCCCGCCCTTCACTCAGTCTCAGAGCGGCTTACAAACTCCCATCCCTTCCCCTCCCCACAACAGATGCCCTGTGAGGTAGGTGGGGCTGAGAGGGCTCTTTCCAGAACTGTCCTTGAGAGCTCTGACAGAACTATGGCTTGCCCAAGGTCATCCAGCAGCTGCAGGTGGAGGAGTGGGGAATCAAGCCCAGTTCTCCCAGATTAGAGTCAGCGCACTTAACCACTACACCAAACTGGCTTAGTCAGAGATGCTTAAGGTGTGTGTTGTGCATCTTCCATACCTAACCTGCCCCCCTCCCCTTCCATTATGGTAGAACATTTTGAGGGTTCTGACACTTTTGAAAGATTCCAGGGGGAAATTTACTAGGCTCTGATGAAAACTGCTTCCTCTGCATCTTTTGCAAAGGGAAAGGGGTCCTTGGGGTAGTGCAGGCTAAAGATGAGTCCTTAACCGCTGGGAGAGTCCTGAAACAGGGTGCGAGAACGTGGCCAGGAAGGGGGCGTTATAGAGAAGAAGAGATTGGATTTATACCCTGCCCTTCACTTCCCAAAGGAGTCTCAGAGCGGCTGACAATCTCCTTTCCCTTCCCCTCCCCACAACCTCCCCTGTGAGGTAGGTGGGGCTGAGAGAGCTCGTTTGAGGACTGCTCGTGAGAGAACAGCTCTGAAAGAACTTGTGACTGACCCAAGGTCACACTAGCAGCTGCATGTGGAAGAGTGGAGAATTAAACCCAGTTCTCCCAGATTACAGCCCGCGCTCCTAACCGCTACATCAAACTAGCTCTCAGAGGTGAACATCCCTTCATACCAATTCCTCTACACACACAGAATAACCCCCCCCCCAAAAAAGCACTCCTTCCGTACACTGTACCCCCCCCAGTCCTGAGCCACAGTGGTCAGCAAGCACTAAAGGGTCAACTACTCTACTGTGCTGCTGAGATTCAGAATCAGGAGTGCAGGAAGCTACTCATTTAGCCTCAGAACTTGGCAATCTTGAGCTATGGGAAGTGTGTACGTGAAAGTCTGCAGTACAGTTCATTCCATCCACTTGCTCTGCAGTTGTCCATGAGTTCCCAACTTGTCCTTCACATGAAACCAAAACAGCTTCTCTGTGTAAAGCTTAAGAGGCTGTTGAAACTATTTTATGCAGTTCTCTTCTGAGAGTGTGTTCATGTTTAGTTCATGGGGCGCATCTGCTATAAATACACAGAGCTTGCGATAAATAATTCCATGGGCTACTTTACAACTTAAGTGGTCTGTGGATTTTAAAAAACGTCTGAAGGAGTTACATAAATAATAAAGGATTTGGATTAGAGTATGGAAAAACACAGCTGCGGTGGCTCAAGTGGTTAAGACGCTGAACTGCAGGCTGTGGAAGGTCAGTAGTTCAGCAGTTCGAGACCCAAGTGCCGCATGATGGAGTGAGCTCCCGTCTCTAGTTCCAGTTCCTGCCAACCTAGCCGTTTGAAAGCAAGAAATTGCAAGTAGATAAATAGGTACCACTTCGGTGGGAAGGTAACAGCGTTCCGTGCGCCTTGATGTTTAGTCATGCCGGCCACATGACCACGGAAACGTCTTCGGACAGCGCTGGCTCTTCGGCTTTGAAACGGAGATGAGCACCGCAACCCTAGAGTCGGATTCGACTGGCTTTTGAGCAAGGGAACCTTTACCTTTTTATGGAAAAACAAACGCCAGACAGGCAGGCAGCAAGTTCCATTTTTCCAACTGCCTTGCGGGGGGGGGGGGGGGTTTGGGGGGGGGAATGGCCTGAAGTCCAATCAGCTTCCATATGCAAAAGACCAGGTTGTCGCAGCAGTTGTGGTGTGGGCGGGACCCGGGCTTTGCCTTCTGATTGGTGGCGATATATGCTGAGGAGCAGTGCCATCAGCCATACACTAAGGGAGTGCATTTTAGAATTAGAACTTTGGCACCCACTATTCAATTATATATAAGGAGAGATGGCAGGGGGCCTTATTTTTATATCGAGAGTGTAGACAGGGATTTTTATGCCAATAGTAATTTTTACAGGGCTCTATACTGAACTGCAAGCTGGAAGGTCAGTAGTTTGCCAGTTTGGGACACGAGTGCTGCGTGATGGAGTAATCTCCCATCTCTGGCCCCAGCTCCTGCCAACCCTTCAGTTTGAAAGCAGGAAATTGCAAGCGGTTAATGTGTGCCACTCTGGTGGTAAGGTAACAGCATTCCATGAGCCTTGACGTCTGGTCATTCCGGCCACATGGCCGCGAAGACATCTTCAGACAGTGCTTGCGCTCCAGCTTGGAGGCGGAGATGGGCGCTGCAACCCTAGAGTCGCGGCCTTGGGTTTCGAATTCGAATGGCTTTCGAGCAAGGGAAACCTTTACCTTTTTATGGAAAAACAAACGCCAGACAGGCAGGCAGCAAGTTCCATTCATTAGGAGTAATCTCTCCTTATATATAATTGAATAGTGGGTGCCAAAGTTCTAATTCTAAAATGCACTCCCTTAGTGTATGGCTGATGGCACTGCTCCTCAGCATATATCACCACCAATCAGAAGGCAAAGCCCGGGTCCCGCCCACACCACAACTGCTGCGACAACCTGGTCTTTTGCATATGGAAGCTGATTGGACTTCAGTCCATTCCACACCTCAAACTCCCCCCCCCCGCAAGGCAGTTGGAATGTCAGTTGCATATGGAATCTGCTGTATTCTGGTGGTGTGCAGGTCCCAGATTCATGTTTTAAAAGCAGACTGACACTGTTTTCCCAAAGCCAGAGCACTCTCCCAGAGCCTCTTTCTAGATCTCGTTGTATTAATTTCCACAACGGGCCTTATTTCTAGTTTTAGATAAAACGATATTATTCCCAATAAAGAGTGGAGATCATGCAAAGTTTTTACGACCTTTGTTGAAGAAGAAATCTTGTTAGGAAGGATATGAAAGGGGTACGGGATACACCTAGGCAGACAAACGGAGAAGCACATACTTTACCTTAAAAAGTATATACAAGCATGAATTAAACAGTAGTCCAGAGGTACAACAGACAATACTTTTTATCCTATTGCACACGATGCCTATACCTGGACTGATGAACTCTGGGTAAGACTGAGGTCAAATCTGCATTTGCATATTTAAACCAGTTTCATGCTGATGTGACGCCGTCTTTCTCTATGCTTGTTTGAACGTTCTTTGGAGAAGATTCATTTAAAACGGCGCGGAGCCACCACGAGAGGGCGATAAACATATGCAGACATGCAACTGTGTGCTAGTTCTGTTCAGGTGTGAAAACGAAACCAAATGCAGACAGCTTGTTTCAAGACGAAGGCTGGGGCACCGGTGGGAAAACACAAATGCAGATTCAACCTAAGACTGGTGAATAAGACAAAAGTGAACTAGTAGTGAACCAAGATTCAAGTGGGGGGGCTGTGTTGGTCCGGAGCAGCAGAACAAAGTTTGTGTCCAGTGGCACCTTTCAGACCGGCAGCTTTATTCAAACTGTAAGCTTTCGTGTGCATGCATGCATGCATGGTCGGACAAACGGGAATAAAATCTCCAGGGCTATTTACAGGGGAGGAAAGAGGGCGAGGGGGACGGATGTTAGGAGGGGCCACTCAGAGCCAAGATGCACATACAGGGCTGAAATGGGATCAGGTGGCCAGTAAGATCAATGGATGGCAGCAAGGCAGTAAAGGTTCCCTTGCTCAAAAGCCAGTCGAGTCCGACTCTAGGGTTGCGGTGCTCAGCTCCGTTTCAAAGCCGAAGAGCCAGCGCTGTCCGAAGACGTTTCCGTGGTCATGTGGCCGGCATGAATAAACACCGAGGCGGACGGAACACTGTTACCTTCCCACTGAAGTGGTACCTATTTATCTACTTGCAATTTCTTGCTTTCAAACTGCTAGGTTGGCAGGAGCTGGAACTAGAGACGGGAGCTCACTCCGTCATGCGGCAACTCGGGTCTTGAACCGCTGAACTACTGACCTTCCACAGCCTGCAGTTCAGCGTCTTAACCACTTGAGCCACCGCAGCTCTCAAGGGTTACTTACAGGAAAAAAATAGACTGCGGGGGGTCAGCTGTCAGGACGGGCCACCGAGAACCCAGATGCATCCACAGAGCTTGAAATTGAAATTGGATCGGGTGACGGGTAAGATCAATGGATGGCAGCCAATTAGCACGTAAATGCAATAGTTAGCAAAGAGATGTGAGAATGAAATTGGAGTCCAGCAGTACCACCACCCCCAGACAAACCAAGCTCCACCCTGTGTACGTGGGAGAACAGAGACTCAGCGTGTGCACACTTCTTCACACACACTGAAACAGATTTCCTCAAAG